TATAAATTTATAAATTTATAAATTTACGTATTTATATTGTATTTATAATTTCACGAATATGTATGTTGTAGCAAAGTTTGTGACAGTACGAATAGTATTTACATTCATTTTCTATCACAGTCGTATTTGCATCTTCATGCCTATATAGTCTAGCACAAGCACGGACACAACTACAGTCTCGTGTATCTGTGCTTCTATCGTTGCTCCTGAACCCATTCCCAACGTACACCTTTGAATACAACTAATTCACTACTACACCACATGCATCTCATTGTGTCTACTGCCTTACGTATACAAACTACTGCGCATGCATCTCATTGTATCTACTGCCTTACGTATACAAACTACTGCGCACACGCACAGATATGAATGCAACGAATGTGACATGTATAGACCACACCTCAAGGGACGGGTCTGGTCTATTTATAGATCGAGGCAAGCTATCGTACATCAAGAACAGTCGATTTGAGAGGAATTACGCCGACGAGAAAGGGGCTTCTGTGAGGTCAAAGAACGGTGGGCTGGTGGTGAGTAGTTGTGTGCGCTATTTTTGGGTATATATAATATATATATAACACACATATATACATATATATATATATATGTAGGAATATATATAATCCAGTTATATATGTACGTAGCAGTATATATAATTTATGTTTATATAAGTATTTAGAAATATATATTATTCATGATTATATATGTATGTAGAAATATATATAGTTTATATTCATATATGCATGTAGATATATACATAATTCATATTCATAATGTATATGGAAACATGTAGGTAAAAACATATGTATGTAGAAATATATACCTCATATTTATGCATGTATGTAGTATTATACATCTATTGGAACCGTAAGAATAGCTGTCTTGAGCTGTGCGGCGATGCTAGTCCACGATGTCGGTGACGGGCCTGTGCGTGCGTCTATACAACACGTGAACAACGTGCAACACGTGAACAACGTGCACGCTCTTCTTTACAATGCAGCTAAGCCCATTCCTACGCCTTCCGCATGCGTGTACAAAGTACTAACCAGCGCATTAAAACCACCTCCAGCATGCTGCAATCTATAGCTCACAGCTCTACCCACATACTTACTACACACTAACCTCCAGGCGTGTTTCCTCGAATAACCTGTAGTCCCTATCCTTATCTCTTTATCTGTATCACACATGCGTCTACGTGCAATAGATTGACGCGTGCGTGTTCATAGAGAGCCACTCAGACTTGGGTGGAGCCGTCCACGGCCGTTTAAACGTGACAGTAACGAATTCAGCCTTCAATAGCACCACCGCACAAACACACGGGGGGGCTGTGTACTCTCACGCAGACATTGTCGTGCGCATGTCAACGTTTTCAAACAGCATGGCAGCTAATTCAGGGGGATCACTGTATACGAATGACGGTGCAGTGGTAGTGACTAACAGGTGGGTATTTGTTTGTTGATATGCATGCTTCTGGGTATATATATATATATATATATATATATTATATGCACACACACACACACACACACACACACACACACAA